GAAAGCTGCAACAGTTGATGATAGGGGGGACGGGGTGGGCAGTGACGTTTATGAAACGGATTTCTTCGTGGACGAAGGCTTCGTAGGTAACCACTGCATTATTATTGTCCTCATCAATCACCTTCAAACACAAATCATAATTCCTCAATATAGCTTTGTGCCATCCACACATCACTTTCAGGAACTGCAGATGAGACGACCCACTTTCCTGATTGTTCATCTTCTCCACTACCAATTTCCCCAGCATTTGGTAATATGGGTCACTTACGTCTATTGGATCGAACCCGTGGGGCTTAGATAATTGCTCTTCTGCACCACTTCCCAAACCTCCCGCCGCCACCACCGCCAGGAGAACACAACCCAACCACAAAACTGACTTTCCCATCTGATCTACTTTTGGGGTTTCTTAGCTTCAATTTGATGCTTTGTTTCAACACCCCTACTGCTATTTACAGCCATAGAATTAATGCGCACGTAACCTATCAATGTTCATGGAGTCTCGTTCTCATATTGAAATGATAAGAGATTTATAATAAACATGAACTATATATTCTTTCCAGTCCAAAAATTCAAACCAGCTTCCAATTCGTTTGCCCTATGAATGGTTTGGAATTACATATTCGAGGAGGTGTATAAATTCGAGGAGATGAATTAAGAAAATAATAGCCATTAATCTCACCTCATTGCCATTTTATTATAATTTTACTGCTTGTTCAAACGAATTAATTGATTACGTTCCTAAGAAAATATGATTTGATTTATTTTGATTGAAAGATGTAAAGAAAGTCTTTTAAATTAAAATCAACTTGTTGATATGATATTTATCTTCGACTAAAATAGTAAGGAGTTCGAATTTTTACCCTCACATGTCATGTATTAAAAAATAAAATAATAAATAAAGGGTCCGTTTGGTAACATTCCCATTTCTTGTTTTTCGTTTCGAATTTTCTTAAGAAATTTTCTTTACAACTAACTTTAATCGTTTATTGTTTCTCGTTTTTGTAACATTCTCACAATTATATAGGAATTTTATAAAAACCAAAACAAATTCTCTTTTCTTGTTCCCATTTTCAATTTGTTTCAAAACATAACTTGAACTTTTGGAGGTTAGAACCATGCAATACATTTTTTCTCATTAAAAATAAAGAAAACAGAAAGAAGAAACAGGAACATTACGAGACATGCTAGAAATTTTTCTTTGATTCTTTGAAATAGGGGCCTCACACTTTCGTTCTTGTGATGGAATCTCAAAATTTGACCATTCAAAATGATAGAATCCAAAATAGACACTTTAATTCTAATATTTTTCCAAGTGTTTGCGTCAAAACTATGGATGAGCAAAATGTTTCTATTTGGAGAGAAGCAAAAATCATCCATTTATTTTTCCAAAAAGTCTCTACTTCCACTATCTTCCTATATGGGTTTAGTCTTAAGTTGCTTTGAAATCTAAATTTAAGTTAAATTTTAAATAACTTACTTTGGGAGATAAAGGGAAACGTGGAGTTATTCCATCAAATCTTGAAAATGGTCCTCCCTACAAGAAAGTCACGACCACCAATTATTTTTCACAGCTTCTTTGTTTTACCCAATAGGCCCCTGCTTGACAGAGAAATTACCTTCTGAAATTTAATGGTAAATGACTTATTTACCATTAAATTTTTTACCGTTTTCTATGCAAGTAGTATGTTGAATCACTGGATCTTTGTTTTCGCATTGACCCTACGTCACAAATCTATGGACCCATCTTTTTGAATGATGCATTTGTTTAGTACTGATATGTTCTGTTTATCAATAATGAATTAATCAAATTTTGTTGATTTATTGACATTTACTAACTTTACCATCTATTGTTATGTTAATGCATATATGTTGTTATTAATATACTAGCTTAAAATCATAGTTTATGACCTAAATAAAAATTTTTAAATATTAAAAAAATATAGAATTTAAATAAATTTCCATGATAACCATGATTTTTTTTTCTGAAAAGCGAGTTAATTAATATTGATATTGATATTTCTAATCGTTGTTGATAACCATAGAATTTAAATAAATAAAAAAAAGACTAGTGAGAAGAAAAACGAGAGAGAGAGAAAGTGGGAGGAAAAAAATGAGGGAGAGATATGGAAAAGAAAATGAAAAAAATGACAAAAACAGTACTGATTGACGTGAATCACGTGAATTTATATATATATATATATATTTTTCACTTAAAAAACTATAGTAAATACCTCTTGATTTTGAATACCCATTTACAACCTATTACTTTCGTATCTGGAGGTTGAGACACAAGATCCCAAGTACTATTATTCATTAAAGCTGTATACTGATCATCATGCATAGCTGTTCTCCAATGGTCATGTTTCAAAGCCTCAGTGACGGTAGAGGGTTCAGTGTCAATGTAATCAACTAAGAAAACTCTATGCTTGAAAATACCGTTTTTGGCCCGAGTTACCATATGATGGCAATTACCAGTAGAGCTTGGTGCACTCAAAATATCATAAGAGAAATACACTTTCTTGGGGAAATTGGGATTTTTGACCCCTTTCAATAACCACTTTGGACTTTTGACCCCCTTTTGATTTTTACCTATTTATGACCCTTCCACCTCAAATTTCTGACCCCTCCCCTTATTTTGCTTTGTAAAATTACCAAGTTACCCTCAATTTAAAAAAAAGAAATCAAACCCAGCCCTCCCCTCCTTTCCCTCCCTGTCTCGGTCCTTCCCCTCCCTCATTCACTATCTCGTTGTCCATCCCAGTCTTCATCCCGGTCTCTCCCTCACAACCAAAAAGTTCATCTCCGTCGTTTCTTCTTCGTCTCCTTCACATCGTCTCTATCAGAGCTTTCCCCCTTCCCTAATTGAGGTAATTTTTCTTTCGAACTCGCGATCTTATTGTGAATGATTTTCTACCTTTTTTTTCTTCGTTCTTTGCGTGGGTGTGAATGATTTCAACCTTCGGCTCTATCTGAAGTAGCCAAGGTTATTATGAAGTTTGATTTAATGTTGCTTCCATTGTTTTGTTTTAATTTTTGACTTTCAGGGTTCCATCTCGGCTTTAAGCCCGGTGGATTTAGGACCGGGATGAAACCCTGAAAGTCCATTCCAGAAGGATGGTCTTTCTGGATACCATCTTGGGACTCATCCCGGTTCGAAATAGACCGGGATGAAGACCGAGATGGTATCCAAAAAGACCATCCTTCTTTCTGGATTCTATCTCGGGCCTCGTCCCGATCCATTTCGAACCGGGATGAGGCCCGAAATGGAATCCAGAAAGAAGGATGGACTTTCTGGAATCCATCTTGGGACTCATCCCGGTTCGAAATGGACCGGGACGAAGCCTGAGATGGATTCCAGAAAGTCCATATCTTGTACTTCGACTTTCTGGATTCCATCCCAGGCTTCAACCCGGTCCGTTTCTAAGCAATATTGTTTTGTTTTGTTACAGGAAACATGGATATGACACTTAAGATCAACCAAGACGACTGGTTCCCGGCCGCGCTGTCAAATCTCGCTCACGTAGGGAAAACCTCTTCTCGTCTTAAGGCTAGGTTAACTCCCTCTCAGTTAGACATGTTTAGTCAAACATGTTTTGGTCTGATTTTAGGGATGAACGTTGTATTTAATGGTCCGTTGCTCCATCACCTGTTGCTTAGAGAGGTGGATGAACCTAGAGACAACCTCATTAGCTTTAACCTATTCGGGAATAGGTTCTCTTTTGGGAAGCGGGAGTTCGACCTAATAACCGGTCTTAGACACACCATTAATAGGGTAGATGAGGATGTTCGTAACCGGAGACTTAGAATTCTGTATTTTCAAGACAAGGCGAGTGTGAAGTGTTCGGAGTTGGAGAAAATTTTTTTAGAACRCACATTCGAAAATGACGAGGAYGCTGTGAAGATTGCTATAGTGTACTTCATAGAGCTTGCCATGATGGGCAAGGAAAGGAAGCAGAAAATGGACACGAGCCTCCTTGGGATTGTGGATCGGTGGGAAGTTTTCTGTAATTATGACTGGAGTTCAATGATTTTTGAAATAACTCTCTGGAGCTTGAAGAACGCTCTGAAGGACAAGGTCGAGGCGTACAAACAGAAGGTCGCTATGGACTCGAGCCATGTTGAGATGTATAGCTTGTATGGGTTTCCATACGCTTTTCAGGTTAGTGAAATTTAAATGTAATTTATTATATATTTATGTACCTGTGAAATACCGTGGAGTCTAACTTGACGTGACTGCAGGTTTGGGCATACGAGACAATATCAACCTTGTCGACTCGAGTAGCATTGAGGCTGAATGACGATGCTATTCCTCGTCTACTTAGATGGTCCTGCACCTATTCGCGTGCTTTTAATGTTTTGGAGCGAGAGATCTTCGAGAACGTCAAGGTGAGTACAACATGTTCTTATTGTTTTTAGTATTTAATATTAAAATTGACCTAACTATTTGTGTTATACAGTCGAAGGTTGTAGTTCGTTTGGAGGCGACTGATGTCGAACGACAGCATATGGCTCGCGTTATGCATCCACCAGTGGCCCCTGTCGGACCTCCTGCACCCACAGAACTTGCTACAGAACCACTGGCTACTACTTCCACCGCTTAGAAGTCTCCCGTTACTGGTGAGATTGGGGATCCAGTTGAGCTCGATGATGTAGCAAAGGATGCTTCCCCAGTGGATGATCATGTAACAGAAGATATTATTGAGACCGATGGAGGACAAGATCAATTGTTGCCACAGAAAGGGACGGAGAAGAAGAAGAAGAAGTCGAAGCATAAGTGGAGTCGGGAGCCGCGGAGGCTCGGCGACAGAGTGACGGCCATTGAGACAACTCTGACGGGCATGACGACTGACATAAAAGACATAAAGAAGTTTATGAAAAGGCTAACAAAGGTAAGGGTAATTGTATTATCTGAATTTCTTGTTTACATCCGTATATTTATAATTTTTATTATGTAGGTTATGTCGAAGGGCCAGAATAAATATGATAGAAGGGCGGTGGGCCGGATCAGGATGGTTCTTCGGGCGGACGTGATCCGAGTGGGCGTAACGAGGAGGATATGGACATGGATGAGGATCCGAAGACAGGGAAAGAGCCGAAGACAGGGGACGAGCCGAGGATGGACGAGGATCCGAAGAATTCTGAAGAACCCGCCGACGTCACCGAGAGTAACGTGGAGATGGATCACGCTCCTACCATTGTTGGAGCTACCCAGGAGGTCCCAAGTGGCCACCCTAGTCCGGTCGACGTAATTGAGGTATTTCTGTAACGATACTAACTTTTTTACGTTAACCTAACTTTATTTACTTAAAGCAAATGTTCGTCCATTTTTAGGATCTTACTCTAGGTAAGTGCGCCAGTGACGGGGAGGCAAGTAAGGGGCAGATGGTTAACGTACCGACACCGCAACCCGCAGGGCCACCGAGAAAGCAAACTAATAGGACAGAAAGTCGACCCCTACCCTTATCACATGGAGGAACTCCACACTTGACCGTTGTTAAGGTAACTCCAACGTCCAACTCCAACTTCAATGTCATTAAGTCTTGTATTGAACTTCTTTTATACTTGTTACAGGTTGAACCTGAGTTTATTGAAGGCCCACTTGGCCAGGGTCTTCGGAAGAGGAAATATCCGTGGAAGTTGCGGGCCATATACACGCCCACCGGCCAACTGGTATCAAAGTTCAAGCGTACAACCCTACATGCCCCATCCCACCGCTCCTGGACGAGGGGTTCCAGAAATAGATGGACGACCCATCAACCGACGGCAATTCCCGTTCAACGTCCGTCGGGATCAAATACAAGAGTTGGTTTGGCCTGCTCCTGGATCCTAAGTTTCAACTGGACGACGAGGTTAGTGAAGTTTAGAAGCAGCAAAGTTGTTTTTAATTATAGACTTATACTTTTTATAATGTCACATGCAGTATATCGACTCGCTCATGATGTTAACGGCGTGGAGGGTTGAGAAGTGTAAACATCTATTGCGCGTGTGATTCGCAATAGGCGACGTACTTCTA